AAGCAAGTCATTATTAACATTAATTACATCAAAATTAAATGTTGAACAGGGAATATTCATAACATATTTATCAGGCATAAAGAATACCTATAAAACAAACACCCATGTACCCACCAACCTGTTTAAGAAATAGAACTAACCATTAGCTTTGAGTCCCCTGTGTCTCTATGAGAGCATATTCCTCTTTCTGCAGAGGTAACTACTGTCTTGAATTTTGTGTTTATCCTTCTCTTTTCTTAATTTTTTAGATGTGTATCTTTACATGTTTATTTTTAAATTTTGCATGGTTTTAAGTTATATAAAGGAGATCCTATTATAAGTTTTGTCCTGTGACCTTAAAATTTGCTTAACACTGAGATGTGTCACGTAGCTGTATTTCATTCGTACTAACCGCAGCATAATGTGAGATTGTAAAGACATTCCAGAACTTATGAATCCTTCAAGCAATGGACATGGAGCCTGTTTCCAACTTTCAGCTCTCCTGAACTGTGGATGCTGCTGTGAGCATTCTTGTTTATGCTTCTTAGTGCAAGGATGTGAGTGTCTCACTAGGGTATATGCCTCAGAGTAGAACTTCTGGGTCACAGTGTAACGGTGTATGAGGATCTTAACCCTTACCGGAGGTATTGTTTTCCAAAGTTCTAGAAGAAAAGTTCAAAATTCAATTTCAATTAGTTTCTTCCTTTTTTAACCTCCCAGCACATACTGCTTCTGTAATTTATTTGATATATAATCATATTTGCCTTTTATCTCTCTTATATAGGGTTACTTCATGATTAACTCTTGGATTCTTGGTGATCTTTACCTATGATAGTGTTTCAGAACTAGATATACATTCAGTCGGGGAAGCGGCAACATTGTTCTTGATAGAGGTGAAGGAGCACAGAGATTACATGAACAAACTCTAGAGCCAAAATGTCTGAGTTCAAAACTTACTAGCTCTGTGACCTTGAGCTGGTTACTTAATCAGTTATCTCCAATATAAATTGGAGAAAGCACTAGTACTCACTTCTGAGGGTTATTGTGAGGATTAAATAACTTAATGTGTGAAACACTTGGAATTGTGCCAAGTATAGTAAGCATTATGTAAGTGGTTGTCATTGTGGTTATTATTATTAATGTTGCGGTTTCCATAAAGCAAACCCATGTAAAAAGTCAAACACTCCCAGCAAATAACACTGTCTCACACTTAATAGAAATGATCAGATGTAAACACCCATATCTTCATATCAGCGAATCTAAAAACCTTTCTCTGTGCCTACACTGTCCCCACATTTGACAGTAGACCCTCCTGTCAGATTCCCCCACTGGGCTCTGGGGTCCATCCCATGTTGCCAGGACCGTCGATGCAGTCACTTGTCATCCTCCCTCTCTACGAGGCCATTCGCATCTCATACAGATATTTCCTGGAATCTTCCACCTTAAAATATAAACTCCCAAGACCCCCCCTGTTTCCTTGTCTTTAAATCATAAAAAGAATTAACTGTAGATCCCCCCCCCCCGCCCAAATGTTTATAATCGCTCTCCACAATCGCAGCTCCCATCCTGCCCGCCTCCTGCCCCACTCACTGGGAGCGGTCTTGTCAAGGTCACTTCCACGCTGCTCAGTCACACTGTCACTTCTCCGTCCTCTCGGCAACACGTGACACGCTTGATCATTTGCTTCTCAGAACACTCCTTCCTTGGCTTCCCTTACACAGCTCCCCTGCCTACCCCGGTGTCCCTTCCACCTCACTGACTGCTCAGGCTGACTCTATTTCCTTCTCTCCCTGCACGATCTTGTCCAGTCTTGTGGCTTTCAAAACCGTTAAAAATGCTGATGAGTTCCAGAATTATCACTCCAGCCCGACTGCTCCAATGAGCTCCAGACTTCCGTAGCAACTGTTTGACATCACCTGGATGTTTACTAATAGCAGTGATGACAGCTAAGCGGTCACAGGCTTGCTTTTTCAGACATGCCAGATTTGTCCCCGCCTTAGAGCCTTCACATTTGCTGTTACTGCGCACATATCTCTGCATTCCTGACTCTGTCTATTCAGTGGGGTCTTCACTCGACCATCACTTTCTTAGCAGCCCTCTCTGACCACTCTATCCAAGCTAGTCCCCAGCCCCCATCCAGTTCTGCCTCCCCGTTCTTAGTGTCTTTAGGTATTATTAGAAATCATCTTGTTCATTTGTTACCGGTTTATGTCCTTTTCCCTTGTACCTACCCCAACTCCTCCAGAAATATGTGTCTTCAAAGTGAAGACATGTGCTCAAAGACTTGATGCCAGAAACGAAGTCTTCACTTTCTATAGACAGGGGGAAAGCACATTTTGCAGGTGACATGCTTATAGAAAGCTTGGGAACATAAAACAGTAGCACCTACTGTGTGCCAGGCATTCAGAGATGCCAGGGATGGAGTGGTGAGTAGAAGAGACAAGGGGCATCCTGGAAGGTCTGACACATAGTAGGGGTTTAATGAACAGTTGCTGGATGAATCATTGATTCATTTTAGTCCACGGAAGTTCCGTCTCTGATTATGAATGGAAGACAACGGAAACATTCTTACAAATGTCTACTCTATTATTAATTTTTGAGGAAAATACATAAACAATTATAATGATATGGATGTGGAAGCACTGAAGGTATTCAGTAAATCAGGAAACCCAGGAGCACTGATATATAAATACCCATGCACAGCATCACTTGCAGCCCAGCATGCTATTGTTCTGTGTTCCCAAACAGCCTATAAATGCCGTGTTTGTGTCTGGATTTCCAATCTGGCGGAAAGATGTAAAAATCCTACACCGTCCGACAAATTGCTTTGGCTGTATCAGCAGAAGTGGCTTAAAAGCAAAAACGGCATTCCAGCGATTCCACCTGTACCTCCTTGATGTTGATATCCCAGTATAAAAACAGCCATTTGAAGCAAACTTCTATTTCAAAGGCAAAGAAAATACGAATAGGAAAGTATCTGTCCAGGAAAGTACAGATTCAAAACTGGTTCTTAAGTTATGAATTCTATGAGAATCAGTTCCAAAATATCTCCAGTTCATTATATAATAAAATAGATAATGGTTTTGTAGACTTTGTATAAATATATCTTCAGCGTCTGATGGTGTTCTCTTAAAAGGGCAGGTTTTTATTTTTCTTTTTAAAAACTGTGTTTACTGAGCTGCCAACTTTTTTCTCTGATTTCTTTCATTCCTCTTCCTCACGGCCCTCCCAACTCCCACTCCACTTGGACTAATAAATACATCTGAGAAATCGGAAATTTAGGCAAAGGTCTTTTACTTATGGTTAGGCTTACATCGTTCCAAAAAGTAAACATAACTAACACCTAAAAGTACCAGAGAAGGTGCTCCGGTATCAGTAGAAGGCACTGATCATCGTAACACAGGGAAATCGTGATGACGTGGATCTTCCTATCCGGATGCCAGTACAGTCCTATGAAAGGAGTACACTTTTTTCTGAGTGTGACAGTGTTAGGCAAGAGTGGGAACTGGAGGCTCTTCTCCACTGGGTTAGGCAGCCAGGCCCTCCAGGAGCATGATTACAGATGACATGAAGGTGACTACCAGTGACAGTAATCCCAGCTATGACAGCAGTACTGACGTCACCAGCAATAGCTTGGCCAGATCTACACGTCCTGCGGGTGCTTCTTATCCGGCTGATCATCCCGGATCCGTTCCTTGGACGGACCACAAAATCCACCCTCACAGCAATGAATCCAGTGTATTCAGTTATCACTGAAAACACAACAGTCCTGGTATTTGCTGGTTTGGAAAAATGGTAAATACTATTGCATCATTTTGGAAATCAGTTACATATAAGCTGCAAGAAAAATGTATTGTTAAAAAACACACGCATGGATACTTTTGGTGGCATGGCTTTAAAACCCTGTGCTTGGCTATAAAAACATTACAGGCAAAATTAGTAACAATTTTTATTAAAAAAAAAAAAGGAAAGTATTTTACTATACCAAAACTAGTTTAAGATATATCAAATTTTATGCAAATACCTCTAGAAAACTGAATTATATAGTTAAAATGTTAAATACAGAATATGCTTTAAGATTAATAACGTATTAAGTTACTGTATATTAAAGGTATGATTTGGAAATTAGAGCTGTTTCAAAATACTGTCTGCAAATTTCACTATTTAAGAAACCTGGGAAGTTGCCAAATCACCATGCGGTCCTCCCTTACACTGGGGGTCTCTTCTGAGTCTGGAGAGAGTCATTATATAACATACAAATAAAAATAGGAGTAAAACACCAGGTACAATTAATTTAATTCACTTCCTGAGACTCTGAGCTCAGTGACTTGAATAAAATATGACAACTTTTTTTTTTTTTTAAATATTGAGAACATTATCTTCTGGCAGCAGCCACTACACTTTTGTGTTACAAGTAGGTCATAAAGATAGGGCTTCAGGGAGAAATAGAACACAGATGAACCTCTAAAGGAGAAAGCTCTCGCAGAAGGCTTATTATTCTCTTTTTATGAGGTACAAACAGAAAACCAGATAAAACATAACAACCCGGATTATAGACTACAGGGGATTTTTCATCACTAGACTTTTATGACGTTTTATGAATGATCCTTAACACAGCAGTCTTCCTACTGAGTTACCAGGAAATAATTTCGATCATCAATAATACGGTTAAGGGCTTCCCTGGTGGTGCAGTGGTTGAGAGTCCACCTGCCGATGCAGGGGACGCGGGTTCGTGCCCCGGTCCGGGAAGATCCCACATGCTGCGGAGCGGCTGGGCCTGTGAGCCGTGGCCGCTGAGCCTGCGCGTCTGGAGCCTGTGCTCCGCAACGGGAGAGGCCACAACAGTGAGAGGCCCGCGTACCGCAAAAAAAATAATACGGTTAAAAAGTTCACCCCATTGTAATATCCAGATCAAGAGACCTTCCCTCTTCTTTATTTTATGTATATAATAACACAATCACGTCTCTCCAGACTCATGCCCAACTGAAACTTTCATTATAATGAAGAGACAGGACAGGAAGGAAAATTCTGGTACCATTTATTTTTCTATGACAGAAATAAAGCTGTTTCACAGCTTGAAAGATACACCGTAATCATTGTGTATCGCAATAACGGCATAATGCTAAAGCAAGTGATCTTCCCCAGAAAACAAAAATCTCTGTTTTCCCTATGACTCCTTCCCCACCCTCAACTCAAAAATTACCGTATAATAACGTCCACCTAAAGTCAGGAAGCTTCCGATGCTGCATGTCGCACGTAAGCAGTGTGATCCAGCACAGCAGGACAATGCCAGTCTCTGCTTCTGTGTCCTGCCTGTGCCCACAGGCCACCATGCTTTATAACTCTTCTTTAAAGCCTTTTCGTGTCTCCTGCCTGGCTCTGTCTTCCTCACTGGGTGCCAACCATGTGAAATAGACCTTCACGGGATCGATGTTCCAGTGCTTGTGGAACGATATGGGAACTTGGTGAGATAGGTAGTCCTTAGGGTAATCCACAGGCCGAGCCTGCAGGAAGAACAGAGAATCCCGCTCTCTCACTCATCGAAAACAATTGTGCTTCAGAATAGCACTTAAATGCATGAAACGATTGCTCTCCTTCAATATCTGATGTTGGTTATGGGAATCTAAAAGCAAGAAGGAAAATCTTTTCCACTAAAATCTTCCCTCTAAATGTAGACTCTTTGTTTCTGCATCTCCAATTACTTTTGTATCACCAATGCATCGCTTTTTGCTTCTAGGTTCCACAGTCATGCCTCTGGGATATTCCTCGACCGTGGTAATAAGTGTGAAAAGTTTTCCTTGGTAAGTCATTTAAGTTACTATTATGACTTCTGCAAAGAGGCAGAAAAACTTATTTCCCAGGTCTAAAGAAACTTTGGCCATACATGGTTGTGTGGCGAGGTGGGGCAAGGAATTTTGGGCGTTCCCGCTGCTCTAACTTGGAATTAGGCATATGTCTTTCAGAGTAGGGAAAGCCTAGAAAAGGAAACACTTTGGAGACAAAGCACATCAGTGGTGTTCTGGGTGTGCGAATGGGGGTGGGGAATGAGTGCAGATTCACACAAGGGAATTGGGGGGACATGATCCTAGTGTTTGAAAACCGGGTTTGTGGTTGCCTAGCTCTGGAAATTTGCTAAAATTTTTCAACGTAACCATTCACACCATTACTGTGTGCGAATTGTGTATGGTATGTAAATCATACCTCAGGTACAGCTGTAAAAAAAAAAAAAAGTGTGTCTAAAATACAATCTCCATTTGTTACACTGTTCAGTGTGCTGTAATCTTTGCAGATAAGAAGGTTTACATTTTGCCCAATTTCTGTCCCTCTCATGCAGTTTAAGCCAGCGCTCTTTCCGTGTGTACAGCTTCCCACCCTGCTCCGCCTCTGCTCCCAAGTCCTCGTTCCTCACACTGACCCTGCCTGTCTGGGATTTCCTTTTGGCATTTTGGGCACAGAGGCTGATTATAGACTTCTCAGCATCATAGATGCCTCTTTGTATGCATTTTACTCTTCTAGTTTTGTCTTGTTCTTTTCCATGACCTCATTTATCAGAAATGATTAGCACATTCTAATGCTTAATAATCCAGCTCGTCACTTGCAGAGGTGACTCCTGAGAGGCAATTAATCACTTCTGGAATCTGCATTAATAAAGGCGAAAATATTACGGATTTATTTTTTCCTGTGTTACATCTATTTGTATCTCCAACAGTTCATTTCTAAGTGTGAAAAACAAGCAACAATTTTAATATATTGCTGGACTCAGTTTGCTAATATTTTATTATGGACTTTTGCATCTATGTTCAAGAGTAACACTGGCCTGTCCTTTACTTCTGTAATGTACCATTTTAATTCGTTAACATTTTAGCTTTTTTTTTTTTTTTTTTAGTGATTTTCTTAGTGCTTGCTCTAGGGATACAATGTACATCTCTGACATTTTAGGTTAATGTTGGCCTCATAAACTGAGTTAGGAAGCATTCTTGCTTCTCTAATTCAACTTCATCAATGTATATAAGTTTAAATACATTTTCTATTTCTTCTTGAGAAATAGCCTTGCTTAAAAAGTGTAATCTAGAAATTTCTCCATTTCATTTATTTTTTTATTTTTCAATTCATCATTAAAAAAATTATTTTAGTGGCTTTACTGGAGTATAATTGCTTTACAATGCTGTGTTAGTTTCTGCTGTATAACAAAGTGAATCAGCTATACGTATACATATATCCCCATACCCCCTCCCTTTTGAGCCTCCCTCCCACCCTCCCTATCCCACCCCTCTAGGTGGTCCCAAAGCACGGAGCTGATCTCCCTGTGCTATGCGGCTGCTTCCCACTAGCCATCCATTTTACATCTGGTAGTGTATATATGTCAATGCTACTCTCTCACTTCGTCCCAGCTTCCCCTTACCCTCCTGTGTCCTCAAGTCTGTTCTCTACATCTGCGTCTTTATTCCTGCCCTGCCGCTAGGTTCATCAGTACCGTTTTTTTAGATTCCATATATGTGTTAGCATACAGTATTTGTTTTCTCTTTCTGACTTACTTCACTCTGTATGACAGTCTATAGGTCCATCCACCTCACTACAAATAACTCAATTTCGTTTCTTTTTATGGCTGAGTAATATTCATTGTATATATGTGCCACCTCTTCTTTACCCATTCGTCTGTTGATGGACATTTAGGTTGTTTCCACATCCTGGCTATTGTAAATAGTGCTGCAGTGAACATTGTGGTACGTGTCTCTTTTTGAATTATGGTTTTCTCGGGGTATATGTCCAGTAGTGGGATTGCTGGGTCATATGGTAGTTCTATTTTCAGTTTTTTAAGGAACCTCCATACTGTCCTCAATAGTGGCCGTATCTATTTACATTCCCACCAACAGTGCAAGAGGGTTCCCTTTTCTCCACACACTCTCCAGCATTTATTGTTTGTAAATTTTTTGACGATGGCCATTCTGACGAGTGTGAGGTGATACCTCACTGTGGTTTTGATTTGCATTTCTCTAATGATTAGTGATGTTGAGCCTCTTTTCATGTGTTTGTTGGCAATCTGTATGTCTATTTTGGAGAAACGTCTATGTCCATTTCGTTTAAATTGTCTAATTTGTTGGCATAATTGTGGTAGGGTATATAATGATGCCCCTCCTTCATTTCTGATTTTGGCAATTTTTGTCTTCTCTTTCTCTTGGTCAAGCTAGCTAAAGGTTTACCAAATTAGAGCTAATTGTTGGCTTAATTGATTTTCTGTTTTTCTGTTTTCTATTTCATTGATTTGTGCTCTGATCTTTAGTATTTCTTTTATTCCACTTAGTTCAGATTTGATAGATTGATTTAATACCTTTATTCCTTTCTAACATGTTTAAAACTGTAAATTTCCTTCTAACCACTACATAGCTGCACTCAAAGTTTTTGATATGTTGTGTTTTCATTTTCATTCCATTGAAGGTGTTTTCTAATTTTCCTTATGGTTTATTTTTTGACCCATGGGTTATTTTAAAGTGTGTTGTTTAATTTCCAAATATTGGGTGAATTTCCCCAATTTTTTTTCTCGATTTCTAATTTCATTCCATTGTTCTGGGAGGTGAGTCTTGTTTTATGACTTAGCATATGGCCTATCCTGGAGAATGTTCTATATACATTTGAAAAGAATGTTCATTCTGTTGTTGTCGGTGAAATACTTTATATGTGACAGGTCACGTAGTTAATACTTGTCTGTTTCTCAATTCTGTCCCTTTATGTTTCATGTAATTTGAAGATCTGTTGTTAGCTGTATATATACATTTATAATTGTTTTATTCTCTTGATGTATTGACCTTTGTCATGAAATGGCCCGCTTCCTGTCTAGTAATATTTCTGTTCTTAAAATCTATTGTTTTTAATATTACTATAGCCACTCAAGCTCTCTGTGATCAACTGTTTGCACGGTATATCTTTTTTATTTAAATTTTTAAATTGAAGCATAGTTAATTTACAATGTTGTGTTAGTTTCAGGTGTACAGCCAAGTGATTCAGATTTTATATATATATAATCTGAGTATATATATAAAATATATATATATAACATATATATATTTTATATATATTCTTTCCATTATAGATTACAAGATATTGAATATAGTTCCCTGAGCTACATACAGTAGGTCCTTGTTGTTTACATATACATGCTATTATATATAAAATAGATAAACACCAAACTCCTAATTTATCCCCCAACCCCCACTATCTCTTTCGGTAACTATGTCTGAGAGTCTATTTCTGTTTTGTAAATAAGTTCATTTATATCATTTTTTAAGATTCCACATACAAGTAGTGTCATATGATTTTTGTCTTTATCGGACTTACTTAATATGATAACCTCTAAGGTCCATCCATGTTGCTGCAAATGGCATTATTTCATTCTTTTCTGTGGCTGAGTAATATTCCATTGTGTATACATATCACATCTTCTTTATCCATTCCTCTGTTGATGGACATTTAGTTTGCTTCCCTTTCTTGGCTATTGTAAATAGTGCTGCAGTGAATGTTTGGGTGCATATACCTTTTCAAATCATGGTTTTCTCTGGATATATGCCCAGGAGTGGGATTGCAGGATCATATGGTAACTCTGTATTTAGTTTTTTAAGGAACCTCCATATTGTCCTCCATAGTGGCTGCACCAATTTACATTCCTCTCTGTGATCAACTGTTTGCATGGTATATCTTTTCCTTTTATATTCAACCTGTTTGTGTCTACAAATCTAAAGTATACTTGACTCTTATACACAACATATAGACAAATCATGCTTTTTATCCAGTCTGACAATCTCTGCCCTTTGACTGGGGTATTTAGTCCATTCGTATTTAATGTAATACTTGATATAGCTGTATTTTCATTAGCCATTTGCCATGTTATATGCCATTGTTTTTGTTTTTTTGATACCTTGTTTTTATTTCCTTTTGCTATACACCAGCATGTGGTACTGCTGCAGCATATAGTCCTATATTTAATTTTTTGAGCAACCTCTACAGTTTTTCTGTAGTGTATATGCCATTTTTTTATACATTTTTTTGTCCATCTATTCCTCCTTTATTGCCCTTTTTTATTAAAATCTTTCAGTGTACATTTAAGTCTTTAAAAATATAGCTAAAACATCAAAAAAGTTACTTTCTTAAAGGTTTCTCTAGGGATAACATGTATCTTTAACTTATCGGGTTAATACTGACTTAACTCCAACAAAATTAACCTTGCCCCAATAAAGCTCCACTTCTTTCCCGTGCCTTTGTTCTATTTTCATCATATATATTGCATTTATCTATGTTATAAAGTCAACAATATAGTTATATTGTTTTAAACAATCTTGTGAAACTGAGAAAAATATATGTATATATACACATCCATATGTTTTATGTTCATACACAGACACATTTTTTCCTCTCATATACACACATATGTGTATATATACACACAAACATGTATATACATAGTCTTTCCAGTGTACTTAATTCCTTCCTGTATATTCCAGGTACCACATGGTGCCATTTTCTTTCAGCCCAGAGAATTTTCTTTAGTTTTTTTAAGGGAAGGTCTGTTAGCAAAGAATTCTCTCACTTTTTGTTTATCTGGGAAAGTCTTTATTCCATTTCCATTTGGGAAGGATAGTTTTACTGGATATAGAATTTCTGGTTAACTTTCTTTTTTTCTTTCTGCCTTCAGGCCTCTTATTTCTAATGAGAAATCAGCCAGTAACATTTTAATTTCCATTTTCATTAGGTTTTTTGTTGCTTTTAAGATTTTCCCTTTGTCATCGTTTTTCAGTGTTTTGACTATAACATGTTCATGTGTGATTCTTTTCCTGATTATCCTACTTGGGCCTTGTTGAGTTTCTCAGATCAATAGATTGTTTCTCATTACATTTTTGAGAAAATGTATTTCTTCAAAAAAATTGTTTTTGTCCCTTTCTTTCTCCCTTCTCTTTTTAAAAAGGACCCCCATTAAATGTATGTTGGTATACTTTGTTTTACCACTTGTCTTTGAGGCTGTGTTCATTTTTCTTCAGTCTTTTTTCTGTTCTTTGGATTAGGTAATTTCTATTGATCGGCCTTCAAATTTACTGATTGTTTCTTTTGCCATCTCAACTCTACTGTTATGTCCATTTAGATAATTTCTCATTTCTTTTATTGGGTTTTTACAACTATAGAATTTTCATTTGGTTCTTTATCATAGTTTCTATTGTTCTATTAAGACTTGCCATTTGTTGAGTTAACGTAATCATATTTTCCTTTGACTACAGTTTCCTTTAATTCTGTGAATATAGTTTTTTTTTTTATTAGCTGCTTTGAAGTCTTTGTCTGTCTGTCAAACCCAACATCTGGTCCCATTCAGAGTCCGTTTCTGTTGATCAGGGTCCATTTCTGTTGACTACATTTTTTCCCTGAGTTCAATGTTTCTTTGCATGTTTCACAATAATTGATTGGAAACTGGTTATTTTTAAATAATGTATTATAGCAACTCACAAATCTGTTTACTACTCTTTTTTAAAAACTAATTTGCCTGAACTTACACTGTGGAATCTTTCTCCGTAGAGTGTGTGGCTGCTAGTTTCTCAAGTTTTAGTTCTTATTTTTATTCTTTAGGATGACTTTCCTGTGCCTGAATAACTTAGTAGTTAGTTTGTAATATAGGCAGAGATTGTGCTCAAACGTCTCAAGCCCATAAAGCTTCAATCTGTGTGTGGATTGGAAAGGACGTTCAAAGCTGCAGTGGGTTTTCAAACATGCCTTAGCTTGTTAATTACTTTCATCCACTGTCCCATGTGCATGCACATAGTTTCCCAGTGGGCCAGAGAATTGTGGCCAGCTTCTCTAGCCCTCCTGTGCTCTTATTTCCAGGGTATTAGGTATCTTATTTCCAGGGTATTAGGTATTAAACTTCTGACCAATAATCCCTTCACCATAACTGAGACTGCAACCTCAGGCCGGTGAAGATGCAGGTTTTTCTTGTTTGTTTCCTACCCAAATTTGACAATTTTAGCTGACATACCTGTGGGTTTTCATCTGTCCCATAAATCAAGTCCACCCCCTCTGACAGCAAACCTGTTGTTTTTTTCCAGCCAGGCCCATACTGGTGGAACTACTGCTGCTCTCTCCAACCAAGCTTGGATGGAAGGTGGGTAGGGTGGGGGGGTTTCAGGCAGAAAGGCCTCAGACTCTGTTGCTCTTACCCAGAACTACAGTAGTTTTTCAGGAATTAATGCTTCTCAGTGCTTTTTGGTTGACTTCCAGATTCCTGAAATAGTTATTTTGACAATTTTGTGCAGAGGATTCACTGACCATTGCACACTGCCATACCCATTAGTAGCATATAATTTTGGAAGAGCAGAAAACCACATGCTCTAGATACTTTGTTTTTAACAGAGGGTTATACTAGACATTCCTTGAGGCTTCCTTCTGAACCTGTGATCTCACAATAACCTTCCCTGACTAAAAGGAGAAGAAATGTGGCCCAGGCAACTTTGTATCTGAGCTTGTTTCCAAATGCCTGCTCTAACTTACCAGGAATCCTAGATTTTATCTCTTTCTCAATATTTGGACCAGTGTTCAAACATTACAAATGGAAAGTAATGTCCAAATCAGAGCAAACTCTCTTAAAAGAGGCTTAAGAATTAGAAGATAAAGCAGTGTCTGTTGGGGAGGATACATTTTGAGCATACTTTATGACTTTGGAAAGGTTTAAAATTTATTATGTGAATTAGAGAAATCAAGAGTTCTAAAGTATGGGAAACAATTTAAAAAATTTTTTTTAATTATCTTCAAAGGACTTTTACATAAGGAGAAAAGAAAGAAGGAAAGTAATCCTTATCATTTCATTTAGTAACGTATTCTTCCCTAAGTGAAAAAGGCTGCTATGAAAACCTAAGACCAGGTCTTCCCTGGTGGTGCAGTGGTTAAGAATCCGCCTGCCAACACAGGGGACACGGGTTCGAGCCCTGGCCCGGAAAGATCCCACATGCTGCGGAGCAACTAAGCCCATGCGCCACAACTGCTGAAGCCCACGGGCCTAGAGCCCGTGCTCCTCAACAAGAAAAGCCACTACGATGAGAAGCCCGTGCACTGCAATGAAGAGTAGCCCCCGCTCGCCGCAACTACAGAAAGCCTGAGTGCAGCAATGAAGACCCAACTCAGCCAGAAATAAATAATAAAATAAGACTATGATAGTGACAGTGATAAATTATTTCCGTTATACACCAACAGTTTTAATTACCCTTCCTTTCTGTGAGTGAAACATTATGAGAGAGAGGGTAAGAGAGAATAACTTGCTTTTCTAAGTCCTGTAATACCACACATAGGCTCAAGGTTTTAAAACATGGCAAAGTACCTTCTGACTAGTACCAGGAGGGAGGTTTCTCATACATTTCTTATTATAAAGGTCTATCTTTATCTTTCCTTGCAGTCCTCAAGAATGCAGAAATGGATTCTGCCTTTCTTGGTAATGCAAGCACTTTCTTTGCCTCGTTCAAGTGATCTCCTATAGTGCTATTTCTGTCACGCCCAATTCTCTATAGGGCTATAATAGCGCTTGCTACTGGTTACTAAATAAAGCATGAAGACTATATTTTCAGTGTAAGGGAGAGCACTTAAAATACCTATGCATTCAAATCTCAAAAAGCTTTGATTTCTTAAAGGAGAGCATTAAGTGAATGTGGGCGCTGGTTATTTTTAGTGCAGATATATCTATCTGCTATTATTCTTACAGCATCAGGATAGTCACTGATCAGAATATTCACTAACCCAATTCTTTAAAAAAGAAACTACTAAAAAGATTGCAAAAGGATTCCCTTCTTACCCCACACTGCAGGATGCTGAAACTATTAGCACCAACCACCTCTGGTAAACATCATCTCTTCTATAACCCCCAGAGTATATGCTTATTGAGATATTATACTGAAATTTAATTAAGTTTAGCCTGTCAGTTTAATAGCAACCAAAGGGGAGAAAGCCCAATAGACAGTGTAAGGACTGAGGACAGTGTAGAACTGCAAACACTTGGTGGCTAGCAGGACAACGTTAGGTCAGTCCTGTATATTTTTAAATAGCATCTGATAATTTTTAAATACCATCAATTTTTTTTTAACTCAAAGAAAAAAAAAAGAACAGCTTTTACCTGAGCCTACATGCAAGGATGCTGGCCAAACACCATTTCATTTTTTGGATGTTTCTGCGTTCCATCTTCATGCTGTACCTGGTACAGCATCAACCCTCTGCACGAAGAGGTCTGTTAAGGATTTCCCCCTGGAGCCTGTCCACACAGTTCTTAAGACTGTTTCCAGAAGAACAGGTGAAGGGAAAGTAGCAGTACCTTCAAGTGAGAAGAAAACCCCCCTCTCTCCCTCTGAGGTAGGAATAAAAACATTTTTCTCACCTGATGGAAGAGAGGGCTGTGTGTCACAGGGACTCCTAACCCACTAAAGCACATCCCCAGGACCATATCATCTGGAGCGTCATTGCTGTAGCAGCGACACTTGCTGGCGAGAAGTCTCCTGATTGCCTCCCTGCTGAAGACCATCCTGGGGGAAGCCAGAGCAGACAGAGAAGGCAGTTAGCTCCTCACAACCGGTAATCTCAATAAGGAGACAGAGTTCAGAGCCACATTTCTGATAAAGATGTTGACATCAGCAGTGTTTTATATTTGTTATTCTGAGGGAAATGTTTCTGTGTTTCTATGAAAGGAAAAGCACTTTTAAATACGTTTGCCTATCTAATAGGCAATTTTATTTCTTTATATATATCCTATACACTAACACTTGGCAGTGTTCTTTTTCTAGCATGTCACTGGAAAATTAGAATAGTTCTTAAGTTTACACACTCTCGATGAGATCAGTAACAAAATCCGCCAACATTCCCAGCAGGTAGATGGGCCCAGAAATACTAGGTACCTCAGTTATACAGGGGATGACTGACAATGAGAGCAAATCTAATTGAAAAAAACCACGCACGGTCCAAGTGATTCCAGTCCACAGAAGCTTCCTCTAGGTAATTTCGAGAAAGGGGAAAAAAGAGAGAGAGAGGGAGAAAGAGATTGATTTGCCTCAAATAGTGCTAAGATGCTGCTTGACCAGATATGTTGGGTACTTTCTGGTGGAGCTCACAGCCATCCCCACCTTTCTGTGCTCCCCTCAGCACTGCAGGAGGCTAGAAACTCTACAATATTTTCCAGACTCCCTGGCCAGATGGGTCCTGGCTTCATCCTGACGACAAAGGGCCCAATACTGGGGGAGGCCATCTGCTTCTGGCTCCGGTGGTCTCTGTGGCAGAGGCAAATGATGGGGCATGGGTAGCCACAGGCTCCAGCACAGCCGGCATGGGATGGCAGAGCGTCGGTGATGGTCCCAAAGCAGCAGTGACCTGGAGCCCATCCCAGGTCTGCCCCAGATGCAGTGCTGTTAACCTGACAGTAGCAGCGGCCACAGCAACCCACACCAATAGGCCCCAGAAACCAGCACCCTTTGCTCCTTCAGCCTCAGAGGCAACAGTGTTTCCTATAGTTACTGAGCTCTGGGTAAAGCCACCTGCTCCCTCTTATTCCTCTGGCCCTTTCCAATACATTTGTACCAAGTTCCTGCAATAAATTCTCCTCTCTTAAAAAATACAGATTGGTTTCTGCTTTCCCTTCTGGTCCTAGAGTAGTAATGGATCTTCTCATATCATGAATAACCCAATAGCTCATAGGGCTGATATGGTTCACAAGTTCATTCCCAATAAGCAACAACTTTCTTGAAGGCAAAACTATCTAGAATTTATCCATATATTCCCATAGCCAAATACAGGGTCTCACATACAGTAAGCCCTTAGTAAAAGTCTAATGATCCAACAAGGGAGAACAAAGCTGCCTCTGCAAAGCTCTTCCCCAGGGAGGGAGAGTTCTATGAATCAGTCTAGTCGGGAAGAAAAGAGGACAGAGCACGTGAGCACGATCCCTGACGCAAACATGTCGATTCCTGCTCAGCTGGGCTCACAGTTCAGTGCCATATAACCAACACCAGCGACCACGGCTGGTGATGCAGCGACACGGAAGTCACTCCCTGCTCGTGCTGAGATGTCAGAAGACGGGATGGAATATGACCAAACAGGAAGAAAAAGAAGCTCTTTGTTTAAAGTGATACAAGGAAATATGACCGTACAAGAAGAAGAAAAAAAAAGTGCTTATGACCTATAAAACAGGGAAAACTGCAAGTTTGAAAACTCACCGTAAAATGCCTCTCTCTTAAAAATCTAGTGTCCATCAGTGACTCAGGGCCTCACACCTACATGCCGAGCCAAATTCCTGCTCTACTGACCAATCCCAGGAAAGAGCCTGTGTGAGGGGACATGTGTTCGCCATAAACAGACATTTCCCTTAAAGTGTCTGCCTGATGCCCTGTCAAGGAATGTTTCATAGGTAACTAATTGTCCCAATCACAGCAGGCATCTCGTCCTCTCAAACCCTATTTGAATAAAAATGCTTCTCTTCTGCCAGCATCCAGTAGAACAAAAAAGAAAAGGAAAGCCTTTCATTTTGGCCTGCTCTACCCACCCCCCCCAACCCCCAAAAAGAAAAATTACCAGTTACAGCACAGTATGCCTGTTCTGCTAACTTTTAAATATTAAAAAGATGTTGATCAATAAAACCAAGAGCTGGTTCTTTGAAAGGGTAAACAAAATTGACAAACCTCTGGTCAGGCTCACCAAGAAGAAAAGAGACAGAAACCAAATAAAAAGAAATGAAAAAGGAGAAATCTCAACCGATACCACAGAAATACAAATAACCATAAGGGAATACTATGAACAATTATATGCCAAAAAATTTGACAACCTAGAAGAAATGGACAACTTTCTAGAAACACACAGCCCACCAAAACTGAATCAAGAAGAAATAGATAATTCGAACAGACCTATCACTAGAAGTGAAATAGAATCTGTAATAAAAAAAATAAAAAATAAAAAAAAAACTCCCTACAACCAAAAGTCCAGGACAAGATAGCGTCACGGGCAAATTCTACCAAACACGCAAATAACTTATACTGATCCTTCTCAAACTCTTCCAAAAGACTGCAGAGGCGAGAACACTCCCAAAGACATTCTATGAAGCCACCATCACCCTGATACCAAAACCAGACAGACACCACCAGAAAAGAAAATTACAGGCCAGTATCTTTGATGAATATAGATGCAAAAATTCTCAACAAAATGTTAGCAAACTGAATCCAACAACACATAAAAAAGATCATAGGGCTTCCCTGGTGGCGCAGTGGTTGAGAGTCCGCCTGCCGATGCAGGGGACACGGGTTTGTGCCCCGGTCTGGGAAGATCCCACATGCCGCGGAGCGGCTGGGCCCGTGAGCCATGGCCACTGAGCCTGTGCATCCGGAGCCTGTGCTCCGCAACGGGAGAGGCCACAGCAGTGAGAGGCCCACATACCGCAAAAAAAAGATCATACACCATGACCAAGTGGGATTCATCCCAAGTTCACAAGGATGGTTCAACATATGCAAATTAATCAATGTAATACACCACATAAACAAAAGAAAAGTAAAAACCCACACGATCATCTCACTAGATGCAGAAAAAGCATTTGACAGAATTCAACATCCATTCATGATAAAAGCTCTTAGCAAAGTGGGTATAAAGGGAACATATCTCAACATAATAAAAGCCATTTATGACAAACCCACAGCCAATATAATACTCAACAGTGAAAAGCTGAAAGCCTTCCTGCTAAAATCTGGAACAAGACAAGGATGTCCACTCTCACCACTTCTATTCAACATAGTATTTGAAGTCCCAGCCACAGCTGTCAGACAAGAAAAAGAAATAAAAGGTATCCAAATTGGAAGGGAAGAGGTAAAATTGTCACTATATGCAAAGGACATCATACCATATATAGAAAACCCTAAGGACTCCACACAAATACAGCTAGATCTAATAAATGAATTCAGCAAAGTAGCAGGATACAAGATTAACATTCAGAAATTGGTTGCATTTATTTACACTAACAATGAAATATCAGGAAGGGAATGTAAAAAAAAAAAACAAAACACCTTTTAAAATCACACCAAAAAAATAAAATACCTGGGAATAAACCTGACCAAGAAGGTGAAAGACTTATATGCTGAGAATTATAAAACATTAATAAAGGAAATTAAAGAGGATTCAAAGAAATGGGAAGATATCCCATGCTCTTGGACTGGAAGAATTAGTATTGTTAAAATGGCAATACTACTCAAAGCAATCAACAGATTTAATGTAATCCCTATCAAATTACCCATAACATTTTTCACAGAACTAGAATAATCCAAAAATTTACATAAAACCAAAAAGAAAAAGAAAAAACGAGAATTGCCAAAGCAATCCTGAGGGGGAAAAAACAAACCAGGAGGTATAACTCTCCCAGGCTTCAGACAATACTACAAAGCTACAGTAATCAAAACAGTGTGGTATTGGTATAAAAACAGACATACGGATCAATGGAACAGAATAGCGAGCCCAGAAATAAACCCACACACCTACAGTCAATCTTCAGCAAAAGAGGCAAGAATATAAAATGGGAAAAACATATGAAAATGTGTTTCCCAGTCTCTTCAGCAAGTGATGCTGGGAAAGTTGGACAGCTGCATGTAAATCACTGAAGTTATTAGAACACACCCTCACACCATGCACACACACAAAAAACAAACCTCAAAATGGCTTAAAGACTTAAAACATAAGACATGACACCATAAAACTCCTAGAAGAAAACATAGGCAAAATATTCTCTAACATAAATCACACCAGTGTTTTCTTAGGTCAGTCTCCCAAGGCAATAGAAATAAAAGCAAAAATAAACAAATGAGACCTAGTCAAACTTACAAGCTTTTGAACAACAAAGGAAACCTTAAGAAAAAAATGAAAAGACAACCTACAGAATGGGAGAAAATATTTGCAAATAATGCAACCGATAAGGGCTTAATCTCCAAAATATACAAACAGCTCACACAACTCAACAACAAAAAAACAAACCAATCGAAAAATGGACAGAAGACCTTAACAGACATTCCTCCAAAGAAGACATATAGATGGCCAGTAGGCACAGGAGAAGATGCTCAACGTCACTAATTATTAGAGAAATGCAAATCAAAACTACAATGAGGTACCACCTCACACTGGTCGGAATGGCCATCATTAAAAAGTCTACAAATAACAAATGCTGGAGAGGGTGTGGAGAAAAGGGAACCCTCTTACACTGTTGGTGTGAATGTAAATTCACACCATGGAAAACAGTTATGGAGGTTCCTCAGAAACTTAAAAATAGAGTTACCATATGACCCAGAAGTCCTACTCCTGGGCATATACCCAGACAAAACTATAATTCAAAAAGATACATGCACCCCTATGTTCACAGCAGCACTATTCACAATAGCCAAGACATGGAAACAACTAAAATGCCCATCGACAGAGGAATGGATAAAGAAGATGTGGTACATATATACAATGGAATACTACTCAGCCATAAAAAAAATAATGCCATTTGTAGCAACATGAATGCAACTAGAGATTATCATACTAAGTGAAGTCAGAAAAAGGAAGACAGATACCGTATGATATCACTTATATGTGGAATCTAAAATATGGAACAAATGAACCTATCTACAAAACAGAAACAGACTCACAGACATAGAGAATAGACTTGTGTTTGCCAAGGGGGCAGGGGGAAGGAGAGGGATGGACTGGGAGTTTGGGATTAGCAGATGCAAACTCTTATATTTAGAATGGCTAAACAACAAGGTCCTCCTGTATAGCACAGGAACTATATCCAGTCTCCTGGGATAAACCATAATGGAAAAGAATATAAAAAAAGAATGTATATATGTGTGTATAGCTGAGTCACTTTGCTGTACAGCAGAAATTAGCACAACACTGTAAATCAACTGTACATCAATTTAAAAAAATTAAAAGAATGTTAATAAAAACATGTTGAAAGGCTGTAAGACTAATAATATAACTTCCTTTAATATACAATATACTAATTTTAAAAATAAGAAAAACTGAAATGAGAGGCAGGGATTTGCCCAAGGGAATACCTGCAAATCAAGAACAGCCATGCAGCGTAGCAACAAACACACAAACACACACCACGTACAGAAGATAAACTGCATCATCAGAAACGGGCCTGCCCCCCTGGACTCCTAGCAGATGAACACGGGTCACGGCCGTCTCTTTGGGCAACACTGCCAGGGCCTCTTCATCCTGACCACAGCTTCCTACCCAAATATATGTAAGGAAGTATTTTCAAAAAAGAAAATAGTTATTGAACTAATTGTTATTGAACTAACAGTTATTGAACTAATCCTCCAAATACCCAAACTTTCAAGAAGTAAGCAACAAAGCGGAAAACAGACACTTGGATTCAAATAGTACAAAGGTCTCATTTTCCAAACAGTACAGAGTACCTACACATAAATCCCCGGAGTCCACACTCCTGGGTTAGCTCTGATGAGTGGGGCTGAAGAGGGGTGGTTTAAGGCAATGGTTTTCAAAAACCTATTTGACTATAACACAGTGAGAAAACAAGAAACAGTTCATATGCAACCATTTATGTTTTGTATATGTGTGTGTATGTATATAAAAACTGGAAAAATATCACATAACAATAATACTCTTACTACATGTGATGTACACGATATATCTGTTATTCCATTCCATTCTGAATTTCATTATTTTTAAATGATGGTATGATCCATTAATTGGTTTTACCATCCATTAGTTGATCCTGACTTGCTGATAAAAAAAAAAAGCTGATTCTTAAGCTAGATGACCAGAAAAGTCTCTTGTAATATTAGAGAAACTCTTATGTCTGCAGCTTTTATCAATGGTAGATATAAGACAATCTCATGAAGAATGTTTCTGCATCTTTGTAAAGTGCTACTAAGAACAGAATATTACACTGGTCAATGTTAGTTATGTAAAGATTAGTACCAGTGTTCACGCATCTATTTATTCATTTATCCCTTGTATCCTGTAAAAAATGAGTCCCCATGCTAGGAAGGGGGAATGGAATGGGAAAGGAGACTCAGGTGCTGCCTTCAAATAATTCATAATCTGGGTGGAAAACAGAAAAGTAAATAGGCAATTAGATGATAATGGTTTGTATAATATGCTATGAAGGTATATTAGAAAGGCATCAAACCCAGATTTCAGGGGCTGGACTAGGCCGAAGGCTTCCAGGAATAAGTAACTGTTAGCACTATCAAGTCCAAATGAAGGAGGATTGGCCAGGTGACAGGCAGAAGGCTGGGGTGAGGGACAGTGCTGTGTACAGACCAGCAGACGCCATATCTGAGCGGAGGAGTTAAAAAAATAGTGCCTCTGAGGAACTGAAACAGGTTCAGCACAAATTCTTTCAAGATGAGGGTGCAGATAAATGAGGCTAAGAAGCTGAAACAGCATCTGCCAAGGTCACAAGAGGCCTGGCAAGCCTCAGCGAGGAATTTGGACTTACATTCTGACGGCAACGAGAGGTTATAAAAGGATGTGAAAGACTTTCACTCCCCTGGTAACGCAAAGAAAAATCCAAATAAAATAAAAATCACATTAACCTATGGCACTGTTGAAGAGATGGATGACATGAAGCCTAGGTGCTTCCAGGGAGGAGCCCTTCCCGGGGGAGCCCTTCCCCGGGGGAGCCGCAAGCGGGCAAAGTGGGTCTGGGGGCGGGAAGGCGGAAGGGAAGACCCGCTAGAGACTCCAGCTCCACGGCCTCAGGAGCACCCGGGACGCTGGGAATTAGGCCAACAAGAGGTGGTTAAAATTGAGGCCTGACCCAGATCAACGTGACTCTGGTTGAAATCTGAACGATTATCTCCCAGTCAGATGACAAATGTAGGAAAGAGTTCGCACTCAAATCCACGGGAAGGCAGCGCAGGCCCCCGAGCAGGGGAGCAAGAGGACCAGGTGCTTTCAGAGAAGCTGTGTGACTGCGGCCGGAGGACAGCACGGAGCGGAGGAGGACGACGACGAGCAAGGAGACCAGGCGGCTGTGGCCGTTCCCTCCGGGTTCAAAGGATTAACACCTTCCTGCTACAAAACGTACAACCCCCGGTACAAAGAACAGGGAGGGCCCTTTACAAAAGGGGAAAGCTCTGGCTTAATGGGCACCAGCACCTCACCCAGGAAACTAATGCATCACCATAAGCCTGCAAAGAGCTGGAACCTTTTCTTTAACGAGGATGAGCTCAGTACGCCTTGGCTTTACGCTTTAGTGTCTTCTCAAAGGCCTCTGTGGACCTCTGTCTCCTATTGCTAATGGAGGATCAACCTTAGCACTGGATCAACAAAGATCAGTACTCCTGCCCAGGCCTGGTCATCACTAGGAAAGGGTCACCTCAGTAACAAGGCTGCAGTCACCACTGAACGGGCCAGAGCAAACCAGAACTCCTGAAACACGACCCCGCAGTAGTAGTCCTGCAGCAGGAATGGTTCTAATCTAGGAGATCGCAAGGTAAGAATATAAAGTCCTAGCCTTCAGAAGTCTACAATCCAGTGCCCAGAATGTTGCTCAGCACATAGTGGACATTCAACAAAAACCTGCTGAATAAATTTAAATTACTATAGTGGATAACAAGACTCTTCCTAAATACCCCAATAGCAAGGACTATAGAAATAATAGAACAGACTGACTGCTCAATTGATTTACTTACATAAATCAAATCAAAAATCTTTCCCCATAAGAGATTAGGCAAATGCTTATTTAAAAGCACTGATTTTTAACTGTTATTTAAACCCTATAAATCCCACACAAATATCATTTAATTGCTTAAGTCTAAACTTCTATACCACTCTTTTCCCACATGTGATTTATAAGCACCGGGTAATTAAAAAGTCTAACGACTTATTTTCTGAAATTAATATCCAAAACTTTTTGCATTTAGACTATCAAAACTAACTGGCTGCCTAGAAGCACTCACGACTAAAGGGACATTTCTACCAAGTTCCCTGACATACATTTATATACTGTCTCTTCAAGGAGTAAAATATTCTTCACTGTGGGTTCTGTTTAATGTTCACTTTCCTATTATAGTAGCAGCTCCCACTGACAGAACACCTGCGTATCAGTATAGATCCCATGGCCACAGACCCATCTCTGCGTCCTGGAAGCGGAAGTGTAATGTCGTGAGTATCTGCAGAAAGCCATGCTCATAGTTACCCTCCTCCTCCTGTGACGTAGCTGTAGCCGCCGGTGCCCAGGCCGTAGCCGTAACGCTCTCCCAGAAACACGGGTTCACTGGCATCGTAACAGCTCAGCAGGTGCTGGAGCCTGGAGATGCTAAGGTTCCCAAGGGAATAGAAGCGATAATCACTTAATTCAAATGCATTTTCAGAGTAAATATTTCATGGTTCTTACAGCCCACTGGTTATATTATGCAATACAATACAGAAGTCATTTAGAGATGAAATTCAAGAGGTTTACAGAAGAAAGATTTTTTTAAAAAAGAAAAAAAACTGAACACTGTGCATTACTGGAAACAGGAGAGGAACTGAGAAACAAGGGCCTCCTCTCCAGTATTACCAAGCCCCTGCCGGGCGTGGCTGCCTCCTGTGGGTGGGCAGGGCGAGGTGTCCTGGCTCACTTCCACCAGTCCTGCTCACCACTGAGCGTGAACTAATCATCACACCTTTTCAGGTGCACTTGGTATTTTAAAAACTTCTTCATGGCTAAAAAAGGAACTTTTGAAGTATAGATGAGGTCCATGTCAGGCAGGGAGCCAGCAGGTAGGGAAGAGAAGGTGTGAGCAGCAAAGCTTTCCAGGAAACCTCCAGATTATGATGCACCACTGTGCTTATGCTCTCAAATAAGCTTCCCTAATCTACGCTCTTTTGTGTCTATTTGTTTATACCTCTGGCCCCTATGCTTCTTTGTCATGTGTCTTGCAAAGGGCCTTGAGAATATCCATGAGCTGCTCAGAAGAATGCCAGCAACTATGGCTGCTGTAAGGATGAGAAAAAAAGATTTCATAGGAAAATAAAATCTATAAATATTTTAAGTGGAGACAAAGGTTGATGTTAAGAAAGGCTAGTTTTCCCATGTTTTAAGAACTTCTGTCACTTACAAATGCCCTGTAAAGTCCTTCTACTGTTCCTTCTAATTTAGAGCTTCTCAGGTCATACACACCAAATCCTAGCTTCCCTCATGATATTAATCAGCGTGCCTTGAAAAAAGTTTTTCCATGGCCGACCTCGGATTAAATATTTTTTATGCGTGAAGTAAATTTCAGTGTTTCTCAAGCCTGTGATTCATGAGCATCATGCATCTCTAAGAGCTCGATATATCAAGCATTTCTCTCAATTACTAATCATGAATTCTTTTCTCAAGAGCAACATTAACATCTAGAACACTGCTGCTCTGGAGTCTCATTTTTCCTGTCTTTGGGATGTATAGGAAGGGCCGTCTTTTCCATCTGTGCTTATGCATCTTACACCCAGCTAATAAAGCTGACGCTGAAAGAGAAGAAAACACATTTGATGTATGAAAAAAAATCTCTTACAAGTGCGGTGCTCAGAGTCTCCAAGTTGACTGATCAGGTTTATATCTGCCTAAAGGTCAAGGGCTCTGATCATGGTGACAGTTTCTAAGTGGCCAGAAAGTGTTTGAAAACTACCCTATTTTTGACACAGAAGTTAAACATTCTAGGCTCCTAGTTTGGAATCAGTATTCAGGAAGTCGTCTAATAAATACCTCTGCAGGGGAAAGCAAGGAAGGGTGTGGACACCTCGTAAATCACCATTCGGTCATGGAGAGACAAAGATCTCTAAGGAAATCGCAGCCTTTGCTTGGTAAAAAGCTCCCTAAAAGCTCAAAGCCCCTTCTAGCAAATGCGTGAAGAAATGAGAAGTATTTCCCTTCTTCCTGCATATTGTAAAATTATCAATTAAACCATAAACCCTCAATTTCTGAGGTTAAAATAACTAGGATTTAACATCTCATCTGGGTTTCTTTTCCTAGCAACATTAACCGTTTCCATATTTGCAAGATCGTATTAAAGCTGAAGAAGCATAAACTGAGCCTGACAACTATTACACACTTCATATTTGGTAAAAACTGGAAATGTGGCTAAAGCAGGCAGATCTCCAGTTCAATCCAAGGGAACTTGCTACCAGGAAAAGAACTTCATTTAACAACCTGTTACCATTTCAGGCAACCTGAGGCACAGAAATGAACAGAAACAGTATGGAAATGTTCAAGTGCAATCAAAATTGTATTAATACATTTTAGTGTTTTATCATTCTCACTCAGTCTCTCTCTCTATATATATATACACACACACACACATCTGTATTATGCCCCTTCCCCCCACACCAATGTGTATATTCTAAGAACAGTGAAAGTCAGCCACCTCAGAAACTACCACTGACACAAGTTTCTTAAAAAGTTAACACACCTGTTATATGTCCCAACCATTCTGCTCCTCAGTAGTTTGCCGAGATAAATGAAAGCAGATGACTATACAAAGACACGTACACAAAGGTTCACAGCAGCCTTAATTATAATCCAGAACTATGAACAGTGACACAGTGCTTGTATCTAAGCTAACACCCATGTTCCAGTTTTATCGACTGACCCAATAACATTCTTTATAGCAATTTTTCCCTCCAATGCAGGATGGAGCCCAGGATCCTTTACTGCATTTATTTATTATTCACTTTATTCTCCTTTAATCTGGAACAGTTCCTCAGCTTTTTGTCTTTCATGACATTGGTATTTTAAAATAATAAATGCCCCCACACCCCCCTTTTTAATAGACTGATCTTTATCTTGGGTTCGTCTGATGTCTCCTCGTAATAAAGGCAAGGTTACGCATTCCCAGGTGCAGTATTATATAAGTGATGTTGTCTGGCATGTGGTGTCCACCTGTCCTCCAGTGGGAGTATCTATTTTGATCACACGGTGCTGTCTGGCGTCTCCCCTGGACACTTAGTTTTCCCTTCGCCATTTCTCAGGCTGCAGGCAGACACTTTAACAGCCAGCAAATATACTGGTCCTCATCAAAATTCACCCCGAGTTTAGCATCCGTTAATGATTCTTGCCTGAATCCATCTTTACTATGCTGGTTACAAAAAGATGACTTTTCCAGCTTCATCATCACTCCACATTTATCAGTCAGAACCCCTCGTTAACCTGCTAGCTAGAGCCCACCTGTTACGGACTGAATTATGCCCCCAACCAAAATATTCATATATTGAAGCCTTAATCGGGGATGTGGCCGTATTTGGAGATGGAGTCTATAAGGAGGTAATTAAGGTTAAATGAGGTCATAACGGTAGGACCCTGCCGTGACAGAATTAGTGTCTTTATAAGAAGAGACACCGGAGGGCGCTCTCTCCATGGCACACAAAGAAGAGGTCACGTGAGCACACACCAGGCCGGCGGCCACCTTCACACCAGGAGAAGACGCCTCAGAAACCTCCCATGTCAGCACCTTGATCTTGGGCTTTGCCAGCCTCCAAAACTGTGAGAAATAAATTTGTGTTGTTTAAGCCACCCAGTCTGTGATATTTTGTTATGGTGCCTGATCTGCCTCATTTACTTATTTATTTCTTTATCATAAGCATGGACTCCCTGATTCCTAATTTTAATGGTTGATAATCCATTACCGTCCTTAATCATACTGATGCTCTTGTCACAGATTCTGCCAAAGAGAACCTTTCCAAGCTCACTTCCGTGTCCTCTTGACATGCACTTTTCTTTTTTTTTTTCCTAAGCACTTCCTTACTCTCTGGTATAAAAAAGAATGTTCCAAATATCTTCTTGTATCTTCCTTGCCTCAACCTTTAAATCAGTGATTTCTCTGAGACTGGTGCCTTTTAGCAGGAAAGTAGCAACATCAGTTCCGGTCATTAGTTGCTCAGGGCTATGGGGGTATCTTTGCTTCTGGTCTTCTTTGGTGAGAAGGACTAGGAAGGTGTGTGTGTGTGCGTGCGTGACACACACACACACTTTGGCAATCGTGAGTCTCACAGAAATTATGAATTCTTGCAGATTTCTCCACTTCCAATCTTCCAGCTCTACCTTAGGCATCTTCCTTGACCTGGCCCATCCCATATCCTCCCACAGTGAGCACCACGGTTCCCAACCAACACTTACTCACCTACTCAGCCCTATAGTGTACCTAAAATGCCTTCAGAGTTGCTTCACCCACACGGTGACTGAAAACTCAGGAGTTGTCTGACATGCCCCCCTCCTCCCACCCCTGACTGAAGGTGTGTCTCTAAATCCTGTCTTCAGCCATATTTGCCTTAGTTATACTTTCCCTGTAGTGTGATTATGTTTTCATTTGAAATGCAGTTGGGTTCATTTGTTTCAGCTTTCTCCTCATCCTTGTTGATTTTTCTCATCCTTACAGATTTTATTTTTCAATAGGTAAAATATTAGCATGCTTCCCAAAGTCAAAACTAAACTAAGAGATAAACTCAGCAAAGGGTCACACACACACACCCCCCACTCCATCTACCCGATCCTCCCATCCACCCCTGTTTGGAAACTACTTCATGGTTTTCTGGCTTATCTGTCCATTTGTCTTTTGTACAGGTAAGTCTACATGGGTATGTTTTATTTCCCCCTCTTTCTTCCATACAGGGAAGCAAACTGAATACATTCTTGTGCACTTGGCTTTTTCCATGTAATGGTATCTTCTGGAAATCACTCAATACAATTTGATTTCTTTTTTTTTTTAGAGAGTTTTTTGTTTTTGTTTTTTTTGCGGTACGCGGGCCTCTCACTGCCGTGACCTCTCCCGTTGCGGAGCACAGGCTCCGGACGCGCAGGCTCAGCGGCCATGGCTCACGGGCCCAGCCGCTCCCCGGCATGTGGGATCCTCCCGGACCGGGGCACGAACCCGTGTCCCCTGCATTGGCAGGCGGACCCTCAACCACTGCGCCACCAGGGAAGCCCTCTTTTTTTTTTTAAAGGAACCAAAATTTTGGTTCATTAGTTTGATCCTCTGCTTTATTGACCTCTACCTCATTATTTCTGCATTTATCTTCATTATTATTTTCTTGTTTTGGGGGGGTTGACTTTGTGATTCTTTTCCTAACTTGTTGAGTTGGGAATTGAATTTTTTTGTCTTTATTGTTCCCACTGGCTTGGCAAACCTTATCCATCCCTTTATTGTTAGACTTCTTGAATGATTATGTATCTTTCATATAAAGCATAGAGTTAGGGTTTGTTTTATGAGCCAATGTGAAAAGTTTGTTCTTTTATTAGGGGATTTAAACCCACTCACATTTTGTGATATGACTGATGTTTGATTTCAACACTAAAATTATTTTAGGTTTGAATTATTATACATATTATACTGTATGTACTGTGTTTCTTTATCTACTAACATTCTGGATATTAGAAAGTTTTCTTTTCCTGGTATTTATGTTCTATTTAACTTTTCATGTCTTACCATGCTTTTTTTCTTACTTGGTCTGTCAGTTTTACATCGGTATCCTTTGAATTCCATCCATTACCTGTACAATAGGCCATGATCTTATCCTATTGTCCTTTTTCCTTCCTTTTTTTTTTTAAGTTGAATACTTTGTCAGAACATATAACATTTACATACTGTTATTTACCCATGTCCCCCCCCCGTTGTGCTTTTAGTGCTACAAGTTAAATACATGAAATGCTCACCATCAGTCGTTTTACCCAAATTTCATCTTAGTTGCATGAACTTCTTTCCCCAATATCTATATATTCCTTAGGAAGGGCACGTGTGTACACTATTCCCTGAGTTTATGTACTGAGAACCTTTTCTGTAGCCTCAATACTGAAGAACATCTTAACTGCGTATAAAATCCGTGAGTCACAATTTCTTTGTTGAAAATGTTCCTCCACTGTTACCGTATTTCTTATGTTATTTTGAGAAGTCTGACACCAGTCTAAGCTTCTTGGTCTTTAGATTATTTCATCATTTTGCCTAGAGACTCAGAGGACTTTATGATCAAAATCTAACTAACAGTTTTACTCGGAGATGTGAAGAAGCTGATGGTCCCAGGTCAGTTTTCCCTGGGACCTACTAGGCCCTTTCAAGATATAAATTAAGGTCTTCTTTTATTTCTGGTAATTTACATATTATTTCTGTTCTTTTGATTTTCGTCCATCAGGGACTCCAGTTATACATGTGTTAGATTTCACTGCTTCCTCCATTTCAAACACAGACATTGTGAATTTTACTTTGTTGGGTGCTAGATGTTTTGTGTTTCTATAAATATTCTTGGGGTTTGTTCTTGGATGCAAGCCAGTTACTTAGAAACAGTTTGGTCTCTGGGGGTCTTGCTTTAGTGTTTGTTAGGCATGACCAAAGCACTGCTTAGTCTAGGGTTAGCTATTTCCCACTATTAAAGCAAGACCCTTCTACAAACTCTACCCAATACCTGTGAATCAAGGGTTTTCCAGTCTGGCTGGTGGGAAGAGGTACCATACTCAGCCCTCTGAGAGTGGTGGGCACCACGCCCTCTAATCACTCTGGTTGGTTCTTTCTCCAGCCTCCAGGAGTTTCCTCATACACATGCACTGACTAAACTCTACTGAATGCTTCAGGCGCCCCTCCACAGATCTGCAGTGTTCTCTTCCCGTGCAGCTCTCTCCTTTCCAGTGCTCTGTCCTGCTATAACTCTAATGGCCTTGGTCTCCCCAGACTCTCAGCATCATCACTTCAACTCAAGGGCTCAGCTGGATTCCACCTGGGTTCCCCTCCCTGAGCAGGGACGTGGAAGCTCCCTACGACAGTTAGCTGGGGCAGTCATAGGACTCACCTCATTTGCTTCATGTGTCTCATTGATGACTGTCGTTTGTTGCCTAATATCAGTGTCTTAAAAACACTTATTTCATATATTGTGTCCTTTTTTGGGGGGTTATTTCAGATGGGAGGGTAAATCCAGTCCCTGTTACTCCATCTTGGCTGGCAGCAGAAGCACCCATCACCATTTCTGACTATGAGTATACGTAGAATTTAAAGCCACCCTAGGACAGGGGTGACTCCTTACCTTATTAATGTGTCATCATCCACGATGACTAACCATGCTATTTTGTCATAGCTGTGATTCAAAAATCTTTCCAAAATGGCAAATGTCTTTCCACAGTGACCTAGGAAAGGTGAGAAGAAAACTTACAATGCATTATTTTCCTTAAAACATATATAATTCATTTGGAAACATTATTTTAGTTTTAAAGTGTTGTAAGTAAAAGTGTAAACACTGACATGCACCTTAAGAATTTGAAATTTTAAAAATTATCCTTCTCCGATTTCCATAGACATAGTGAACCAGGAAGAACACTAGAGATCATGAAATCAAAGGCATTCAGTTCGCACATGAGGGACTGAAGACCTAGAGAGGTGAGGGGAATTACACAAGGTCAAGTACAGGTAGGACTAGTATCTTCACGTCAGACATACAAGAAAGTTGTAAGCCTCGAAGAAACTACAGGAGCCTGGCCATCTTTCCTTAGATCTGCTTATTCTGAAGGGAAATATGAGAAGCTCAAGCATCACAACCTTAGGGAAACAATGGTGCAAAAGTACAGGACTACACCTTCAGTTATTTATTTTGTAAATATTTGCTATTAAGTTTCTAATATGCCAGACATGGTGGCCAGTTCTCAGATGTCACTAAAGATACAGTACTGAGTAAGACAGAGGCACAGTCCCTTAGATGCCAACGGATAGCGAAGCTTTAATGGAAAATGCTGGGGCCAGGGTAGCAATGGAATGCTTGGGAAGAGAACTCAAGTCGATAGAAAAGAATAAGCCCCTCTTTTCAACAAAGTATTTGGTGACACAATAGAGAACAAACCACTTGATTTAACCTTTATTTTCCTTATTCTTGATCTCTTTATGTATTTTTAACCATTTTAGTATGTATTTTTGAAAGCCACCTCAAATTCCTTTTGGATAAAGTAGAATATAAATGTGAGCAATAATAAGGTCAGACTAAAAATAAAGAAATCAAGTAAGGAGTGCATCAACAAATAAGTGATTATTATAGTCAAAGTCTAAACAGCAAGGTTACAAAAACAAACAAAAAAATTCAAACAAAAATCATTTTTCCAAAACAGACAGACTTAGTGATATGTTTACTAACCTTGTCAGAATAATTGATAACTACAGGAATGACATATCTGATCTACACTGTACTTTTATCAATCAGGGCATATGAGCAACACTACCATAAAATAATCAAGATAAATTATAGAACAAGATAATCAACTCACTTTTTTTTTTTCTTTCATAAAAGGGTTTGGAGAAACCAGAAAACTAAAGAAAAAACATGGCAGGAACACTGGATAAAAATTAAGATGAACAGGGCTTCCCTGGTGGCGCAGCGGTTGAGAGTCCGCCTGCCGATGCAGGGGACACGGGTTCGTGCCCCGGTCCGGGAGGATCCCACGTGCCGCGGAGCGGCTGGGCCCGTGAGCCGTGGCCGCTGAGCCTGCACGTCCGGAGCCTGTGCTCCGCAACGGGAGAGGCCACAGCAGTGAGAGGCCCGCGTACCGGAAAAAAAAAAAAAAAAAAAAAAAAAATTAAAATGAACAAAGAGCATCTGAAGGTGAGGTGGCCAAATTTCTACTTCCATTTTTTTTGAAATAAAAAATGTTTTGAATTAGAAAGCCTGCAATCTGAAGAGAAAAGCAGGTATACTTCCAACAATTTACTAATTAAAATATTAATATATATGGATACATATATGAGCTTATACTACATATAGCCCATGTAGAATGTGGTTAAGCGCTCTCAGAAGTACAAGCAAAATGCGTCCTAGACCACAACAGACCATAAGCTTCAGGAGGATGGAAACGGTCAGCTTCATTCCTGCTTCCCTCAGTATCTACCAATGGCTGGCATGCAGCAGTTGGGTAACAGTCCTGGCTGGATAAATGGCTAAAATTAAATGAGGAGGTGCTTTGTATGGGAAGATGATAAATTAACTCTGGACACCCCATTATGGCCACAGTGATCTATGAAGGTACAAAGAAATCTATTATTAAACTCTGTCATAACTGTCATATGCATAATTGTCATGTGTGTCAATCATATCAGTATGACCGACTGAAAACTTGTAAACTTTGTTAGCACTAAAAGCACCTAAACTGCAAGAATCCGTCCACATCCATGGGTAAAGATGTGAGGGAAGGAAAGAAAGAAACTTACAAGTGGCAAAAATTATACTATTTATAAAATATTTCAGTTTTATCTTAATTTACTATATTTACAGAGTGGACATTTTGCTTTTTTTTTTGGTGGTGGGATGGTGGGTCGCCGCATGGCTTGCCGGATCTTAGTTCCCCAACTAGGGATTGAACCCAGGCCACGGCAGTGAAAGCACAGAGTCCAAACCTGGACTCTGGTGGACCGCCAGGGAATTCCCCAGAATGGACATTTTGAATAAGAGTCGTCAGAACTAAGGACTCACCTCTCTCTGTATTAGGAATTCCCAGATCCACCGTCGGAACAGAACTGTCTGCGTAATCGCTGTAGTATTCGATGTGACCTGCCTGCCCCGCCCAAGTCTGCTTTACGATGGGGACTGAAAAAATGAGAGAGGGGACCGTCACTGGCACGGGCATCTAGGAAGCCTGGAATCTCAAAGCGGCGGGATAACCACCTATAAAGGAAGGGAAGCATTACTTGTTCTTCTTCAGGTGTCTCAAGACTAAGAGCTTGCTTTCTACCCTGAGAAATGCCAACAGCATAGGAATAAAATCCTCTTCTTGAGGCATTTTCACATATACTCTAGAGCCGAGCACTTCTCATTGCTGGTGATAAATACACTGCCTCCATATAAGGATAAATTTTCTAGTCTGATTATACTGTTGTGTTTACATTAATTTTAACTTTAATTAATTTTTCTCTTTTCCCAATAGGCTGCTTCATTTAAAATTCACAACTGGACTTCTTAAATGCTTTTGAGGGGGGGAAATATAATTACTCCTAAAGATTGGAATATTGTATGTGGTTGTAGCTGAGATGTAAACTTGCCTCCCTCACGGTGGAGGGGGGACCTTTTCAAACTACACATATCTCTGCCCGAAGATTCTTACAGGACCACCCAACCCTATAAAGGGCATGACCCTACCCCTGAGAGTCACTGCATATGATGGCTGACGTTACGGAGCTGCACTTTGGGAAAATGTGGAAAAATAAGATTGAGAACCGCTGCAGATTCTAAAACTCCATCATCAACAGATAAGTTATTTTAATACAGTGAACACGAACAGCAGAAAACTCTCTTGGTTTTCTGCATTTTAGGGCGAGATGCTCAAAGGTAGCTGTGTCTCCACACCTGACACAGAAATCTGCTTGATCACTGTTTGATATTATTTTTTTTTTTTTGCGGTACGCGGGCCTCTCACTGTTGTGGCCTCTCCCGTTGCGGAGCACAGGCTCCGGACGCACAGGCTCAGCAGCCGTGGCTCACGGGCCCAGCCGCTCCGCAGCATGTGGGATCTTCCCGGACCGGGGCACGAACCTGCGTCCCCTGCATCGGCAGGCGGACTCTCAACCACTGCGCCACCAGGGAAGCCCCTGTACTTTTTTTAAGTTACTATCTGCATCTCTAAATTTTAAGAAGGGGTTTCCGCTGTTATTTTAATAGAAAAGATCATCGTATCTAGATTTTATATTCTGTTGATTTAAGAATCTCAACTCTGGTGAACCACATCTTCAGTTAATATTTTGAGACTTTATCAGATCACTTATCTTTCCCTTTTTCCCAATCTAAATAAAAATAAATGATATGCAAAAACTACCCATGCAATGCCAAATTTAAGTGTCTAGCTATGTTAGTCGGCAAACTGGGAGAGAAACTCAGACAGCCCTTACACAGAAAATACAAAAGTGCACCATTTTATATGCCACTGTTGACCAGCTTTTAAAAAAGAAAAAGACCGATGAGTTCTGGACATTTGCTACAGTCATCGCCAAATTGCGTATTTTAAGCCACTAAATATTATTTTTATACATTAAAATGCAATTCTTCTGCAGTCATAAAAAGGCAGATATAAAGATTTCTCCATACCAGAATGGACAAAGATGCAGTAAATAATAGATAAGGTCGCTGAGGGGGAAAAAAAAGAAAAGAAATCCTTACTCTGTCCAAATTCCAGCACAACAAAAACCAACCTTGGCCCTGCAGTGGCAGTTTGCTTTGCATATAATAAGCAGGACTTACCCAGACAAGGCTCCCCGCAGCCTGCAGCCGCTAGTGGTCGCACTCTTGGGTAAAATGTCCTCCACTGCATAACGGGAAGAAGCTGTGAGGAAAGGCCAAGAATTTCCCTGGGTCCCAGCACCGGGGTCCTGCAAATTCTGCTTGCACTTTCCTCAGCCTTTAGCCTTCAGATTCTGTTTGCTCTAAGAGCTTTAATAAACAGGACAGGCATTTCTTCTCAATTCTCTAATTTGAATGAAGTTAAAATCAAAATCAAGTGTGAGTTAGCTCTTCACTACACCTAACTACTTGCTTCCAGTTTTCGTTTGAAACAGATGAAACAGAAATGTCACTAAAGGTAAGAATTACTGTTAGACTCAGTGCCCAACACCCCGCACAGGGCCGGGGACATAGTAGGTGCTCAATAAATAGCAGACTGAGGACTGGGTTTTGTCAGAATTCCAACAAAAGGCCAAGGGCTCTTTTTGGAACTAGTTTAAAGGAAGGTTTTATTCTTATCAACGATTCATCCTTTGGTACAAGACTGGTACCACCATTACCAATCATTTGAAAATAGACAAACCATTTCAACACAGTAACGTGTTCTGAGACTCTAACACCAAAAGCATCCAGCAGTGTATCATGTCCCCTTATCACTGTAACACCTGTGCATTTGTAAAGTAAGGCTGTCTCCTACAACAGCAGGTGAAGACTATTTGCAACCAGAGTTGATTCAAAACTACTTAAAACTTTAACAATATTGGTCTATTTTACTGTGACTGTTTGAATCCTAAATTGAATTCATTCTATTATTTATAATATATTTCATATTGTATTGAGGCACTAGATTCCTAAAGATATTAAACTTGGAGAAAATACTTCAATATAGTTATGTGATCTACTATCTCATTTTCAATACAGAGAAGCATACTTTCTCCCACATAATAAAACAATAGTGAACGCCTCTTTCCAGAATGTTTGCCACAAGTTAATTTAAAATTGGGGCAAAGTAAAAACTGTACTATTTAAAAAAACCCTCTGCCCAGATGGCATACGTCTTCCACATGGCCTTAAAGCCTGGAAGCAGGAGATGCATCTCCCTAAGAGACACAGGACACACTTTTACTCCCAGTGAACTGACGTGCGAAACTGACTACAAGTGAAAATGAACTGACACTTGAGCCCTGTACAAAATCTGCCACCCAGTCAATTGTGCATGATCGTTTTGATTTAAGGAGTCTACTGTTTTCAATTAACAAACGCACCTTTTGTCTCAGTATGACCACAAAGTAAAGCCCTGGTTTCTCTTCTCTTCTCAGGGAGAGACTTAGCGACAGCACCAAGCCTGTGCTGTGATTCCCAGGTTTAGAGATGAGGCATCTGGAAGACGGAAGAGCCCCCCTCCTGGCTGACCTAACACAGCAGTTCAGGGCAATCTGGCCCGTCTTCATCTGCGCAGCAGCCAGGGGAGAACCAAACTCTCCTTAATAATTCATGCACTCACTTCATCTAACACGGGCTGTGGCCTGCTAGCTGGCTGCATTTTCATTCAAACCCTCATGTTTTCAATGAGCAGACTGCGCCATGGTACCTACCAGACGGAACACGGCTACCACACACTCTTCAGAGTAAGTGTGTTCAGACCTAAAGGAAAGATCACTACAGTGAAGAGAGCAAACAGGGTTTTTTTTAATTCTGAAAGGAGTAAAGTGTTTCTTTTTAGGAGCTCAGGAAGCTGTGAAAAGGAACTAAAGGCTGAGCAAATGGTAATTTAACCTCTTTAATGAGAGGGAGACCGCAGGAGGAGAAACACCTCAACCCACTGCGAACAGAAATGGTGGCTGCCACGTGGTATCTGAGACCCGCGTGGGAACCGCGTGGCAGGAGGACACAGAGAAAATCCGTAACATTCACTGACAGCTAATGTCACACAAGGAAAAACACATAACCCAGGAGGAAGTGATCAGGCGGAACGTTAAACTCCAGAGATCTTTTCCTTGCTTAAGCATAACTTCACATGCTGTGGCAGTTCATCACTTTACGTAATACCTTCAAAGTTTCTTTAAAACCCTACCAACTGCTTGCATGTCAGCCAGCACTGCTGTTCCAATGCTGTCAATATGTGTTTCTTTCTTAAGCCAAAAGATAGAGTATATTTTTGCTAACTGTGTCCTAAGTTGCTTTATTTCATCTAAATCAGAATCAAGACACAAGCAGTTATCGAAACGCTTGTTTCACTGTTGGGCAAAAAAAAAATTACAAGATGTAAAATCATTTTTTCTAATTTTGGAACTTGGCTTTATTATCAATTTTTCCAAAAGAGTATGAAAAATGAGTTCACTGTATATGTTCCCTTGCCTTGACTACAGCCTTAAACAGAATGTTTCATCCCTCACCCTCATCCCTGGAGGAGCCAGGAGCAGGGGCCATGGCTAGGGTCCACCTACGCTCGGAACCAAGGGCAGCGCACACACAGTGAGAGCCTGCCTCCGGAGAAGTCACTGTGTAGCCAGCTCTCAACTCCTCACAGATAAATACAGTCTTGTCTGTGTTTATTTTTTCCTTCACTGTCATTTGGTTTTTGTAACTTCAAGTGTTTCTACCAGAGTGCATACAGAAAGAAAAAAGAAAACAACCCCCCCCCAGTCCGTGTATTCTGCTTGAATAAAGCAGTAATATGCGAGGACAAGATGGGAATCTGAATTCCTAGCTCAGTGTATATTTGAAATCGTCTGTGGGTTTGAATTCCTGGCGACCCCTCCTGCTACTGAAAATAAAAAGCCTCCTGCCACAGCTTCTGGCCGCGTCAAAACTGACCCTGAGCACAGCAGAGCATCAACACAGCTATCAAATACTATTTATCAAGCATTAGATTTATAATACATCCACAGACAGTGCAGCACAGCTCTCTGTGGCAGAAAGAATTGGGGATTTGGAGCCAGAAACCCTGAGCCCCAGCTCCCCTGCTCAGTCTACAAGATGCCAAGTTATTTGTGTCTCAACCCAAAGGCAGCTTTCTCTATGATATCAAGCGAATAAAAATAATGACCACATCGCAAGGACTGTCAACATGAAATCAGATGATAGAATATATGTGAAAAACACACCAGAAAATGTAAAAAAAGATTAGCAGTCAGAAGCAGCTACTGTAGCATTCTCACTGAAACTAAAACGATTACTGGATAATTCTCTGGGCCAGCTGGTTGACTGGACGAGATTTCCAAAGCGAGGAGCAGAGCCCACTGGCCCAGGCAGGTTTCACTTCCATCAAGCAAAATGGACCTCAGAGCCCCTAAAATCCTGCTGCCTAGACTATCTTGTCAAACAAACAGGTCCAAGTTTAAAAATGGCTTGTCACAGCAACTCGGCTGTGACAT